AAGGAAATTTCCTGAACCTAGGGATCATCTCTAACCTTGCCTTCATTGACAGGATCTTGTGGCTCCATCTGCTGACTTCTTCTTTGGGTCTTCTCAATCCCTTCCTTCACTCGACCACCTGTATTTAGAAAACGGTCTTTTTGATCTCCAACATCAGCTTTAAGCCAAGGCCCATATCCTTCAGGAATTTTTGTTTGGTCTAACTTATACGTGCCCAATCTATCCGTCAGCTCCTCCAGTACCTTCTGGTTTGGCTTTTCTACTCTGCAATTTTTTTCAACATGACCTAGGAGGCCACAGGGAGGTGCTCGTACTGGAAGGGGAACCATTCTTCCTTGTCATCTGCAAGCAACCCTTTGGAGCTTGTTTCCAAGGGTTTCCTTGTATCTACTCTCACCCTAACTCTTAACCCCTTATTCCATTCATCTTTGCTCCTCCTCAGCTTTCCCTCTTCTAGATTCACATCCAGAACCTCACCCGCTTCCTTGGCCAGGAGCTCTGCTATTTCCTTTGTTCGATATGCCATTGGAACATTTAGAATCCTCATCCACAGGCTAATGGTGTTGAAGCATACTTCCCAAACCAGCATCTCATCAGATTGATTTTGAAGAAGCAGAGGATACCCTTTGATTGTCCATGGTTCCTCTCTCAATTTTTTTTTTCAAATATTTTTCCCTAGAAAATGAAATCCATAGAATGTCATCACTCGCCCTCTTCATTTTCATTTCACCCTTGATCCACCACCACATACTCCTAATTTGGTCAAGAACTCTTGAAACATTCATGGGTTTATCAGCTAGCACCTTTGCATACAGTCCATTCTTTTTCAGCGTCTTCTTGACTAAGACCTTTCGTGTTTCCTCCTGAATCCCAATCTCCCTTCTCTCTTCAACCACATCCATGCTTGCCCCTGCAAGTCACTCCCACTAGATTGTGTTCTCGAATCTTCTCCGCTCACGCTAGCCCTGAGCTCACGTTCCCTCTCAAAGCCAGTCGTTCCCTCTTATAACCAGTTGCTGCCTCACGCACAACTTTGATTCTTGGTATTTTAGATCTTGAGACATAGCAGATGGGTTTGCTTTAATTTTGGCTTTTCTTTTTACCTTTTTGGTGTTTCATTTCAAAGTTCAAAGCTTTGGGATAGAAATAGGCCTTGAAGTTTGGGTTCCTAGGTTTTAGATCTATAAGGTTTCCCCCCTTTGCCTCGTTTAGGTTTTTGAAAGATTGATACATTCGCTACTAAACGGGTTGAAGTCATAAGTTGTAAAAGCAATGCTGAAAGTTTTAGCCATTTGTTGTCCATTTCTTTGCTCTTAAGCCTGTAACTGTGACAACCCTAAAGGCTTTTGTAATGCGGAAAACACCCTCAAGTGCCAGAGAATGATTGATTTCTATAACCTGTTTTCCAATCCCTAACAAGCTCCTTTAATGTTGTGCTTGGTTTGAAGGAAAAAGTAGGGAAAGGTAGGGAAACCAGACATAATCTTACTCCATTAGCTGCTCCAACTTCCCATTCAATTTCATCGCACTGATACTTGATAATGTTTTGTTGGATGACCCATTTGCTCAATGGCTAGAATACAGGGGTAGTCTGGTCATATAAATTATTTAGATGTTTATGTGGACAATTTCCATTAATGATTACTATCGGTGACATGAAGGAAGGTGAGTTTTGGATAATAAAAACTCACTGGAAGGTGATTCTATTGAGGAGGTTTTGAAAAGTCATGATGAGTTTATGAGAAATTCCAAAAAGTCATGGTGAGCTTTAGATAACATCCCTAAACATTACAAAATGAAAATGCATAAAAGTATAAAAAATACAAAAAATATATAGAAAACATTTAAACACATCTCTAATATTATATATTCATCATATAAAACAAATAAGTGTGACAAATAAGAATAATTTTATACCCATTGGCTTAGGTTTCAAATGAGTTCAGTTTTATACCCATTGAACACATATTTAATTTAGACTGGATTTTTTTGACATACAACAGTATTTTGAGAATCATCAATGAGATCTCATATTAATAAATGCGATGGATCTCATATTAATTTTGAGAATCATCCACTAGTGCTATGGTTTATCGCTTTTGTTTTTAGTTATCTTGTATTTTCTTCTTTGTTTAAATAATCTATTATTAAGCACATGAAAACCCAAAATCTTTAGCATCAAATTCAGGTGGAAAGCTTTATCTTCTTTTATTTGTTAGTTTTTCTAAAGATGATTTAGGTGGTATTTGGTATCGTGGTGATGTATAAGATTGTGGACCCATTTTGCCACCATTTAAGCACTACATAGGCATTTCTACGAAAATCATATTTAGTAGGTTGATCTAATTACAAATGTTTTTGTAATTTTCTTTTTATTATGCTATGTAAAAGTAACATTTAGAGAAAACACCATTTGAAATTTGCTACTAAGTGGATTGTTGTATAGGCATTTTGTGCTATGTGGTGCCCAAATCCTAATGACGCTATACTGTGTAATAAACAATGATAAACACTTTAACCTTTGCACTTTGTATCCAAACTTTTGTTTTTTACTACACTTAGTTAGGAAGGACACTACAAAAAAAAGTAGATTTCGTGACGTTCGGTTTCAACCGAGCCGAGTTCGATCATAATTTACAGGCTCGATTAATAAATGAGTCAAGTTCAATAAAATAAAATTATAGAAAATAATATATAGTAAAAATATTATAATTCTTAATTTTTTAAATATGAAATAAAAATATTTTTATATATAATTTTTTATTTTTATAAAACATTTTTCTCAAATCGAGCTTGAGCTCAAGGTTTTAGTTCAAACTGAGCTCGAGCTCGAGCTCAAGGTTCTAGCTCGAACTGACTCGAGCTCAAGGTTCTAGCTCGAACTGACTCGAGCTCGAGCTTGAGCCTTGTAGTACATTGGTGAATCGAGCTCGAGCCTCGTACTATTCGGCTTGGCTTAGCTCAGCTCAAATCCACCCCTACTCAAGGCTTATTTGACTATTTCCAATGTTTCTATGTAACCTGACTCAAGCCAACTCAATAACATGCATTTTTTAACCTTACCCAACTCAACATGGCTCAACCTAATTTTGACCCAATCCAATCCACAACCTTTTAATTTTGTTTTTCTAACATATTTTGAAAACCAAAAAACCATTAATTTAGTCCAAACCCTCAATATTCAAAATGAGTCATGGTGGGTGTTGAGTTGGGTTGAAGTTTGAGTTAAGATTGAAAAGTATTAACATAACATAAGTTGATGCTGGGTTTGGGCTAACTGGCTAAGGCCTTTGGCTAACATGGGAATTGGATTCCTATTCTAGACTTTTTCTAAAAAAGTATATAACTCTTAACAGAAAAAAAAATCTCAATATTAATAAAATGTAAATACATTAGTAATTATTTAATAATAAAACAATAATAAAAAATATTAATAAATTAATACAAATTTGAAAAAAAAACTTCGGTTGATTCTAGTTCTCAACAATTGATATTTAACTTGATTATGACTCTTGTCAAACCAAATAGCATGTGCTTGGAATAAGCCACTCCAATTTTAATTCAGAGATTTCATTTCTTATTCAAATCCCAATCTTAAATGTGAACCAAGTAGACCCATAAAAAAGTTGGGCAACTTGAAGCAAACTCCAGCCTAGTTCAATATCAACCCTGATGGCGGGGTGGGGACGGGGAAGGAGAATATGATCCTTGCCTCAAAACCCCCCCCCCC